CTCCAATGAAGAAGTGTCGTAGAACAAGAAAATGAAATTTCTTTTTGGGTAACCAAAAAGAACTTCTGGTACCTGAACTTCTGGTACATGAACTTCTAGTATGTGAACACACCTTGGACTCTGATTAGGCTTCAGAGTGCTTGATGACGGTGTAAGAAAGAAAATAGGTCTTTCCCTCCCAGCTACTTCTTTCTATAGCTCTGTCTTTTCTTGGAACTTCTAAGGAGAAGTTATTGTTTTTTCTGCTCCTTTCACTAGAAGAGAAGTGATTTATCTGGTTATTTGATTCATAAGGAGCAAGAACCATATTCCATATTTCACTCTGGGGAAGAATCATTGTGGGCTCTCACCTGGGCTTTAGTCTCTCTCTTTGATTTTTCTTGGGGTCTCTTTACCTGGAGACCACTTACAGACTCATGTTTTTTCTTTCTTTTTCTTTATGGTAAACTCTGTCCCTACCAATTACTTATTAGATAAATTCAGGAGAGAAGAGTATGAAGTTCATTTTAGCCTTGGTTCTGGACCACTTTCTTCAGCCCAGTTTTACATGGCAATAGAGTTATTACTACAAATCCATATTTGTATTGGTATATCAAAAGACCTAGTTACAGAATGGATATAATGAACATCCTTCTCACATACACACACAAACTGTCAACAGACTAGTTGTCTTCTTTAAGATTTGGTATATGACAATTTATGCCATCCATTAACTATGATAAAATTCTCCAGGACATAATCTCTGCTAATGAAAGAATTATCTTCCAATATGTCTTGATAGTATTCTGAGCTATAATTAATACATAACCTGTTGTCCTGGAGTTGACTTCAACTCATAGTGACCCTATAGGACAGAGTAGAACTGCCCCATGGGGTTTTCAAGGAGCGGCTGGTGGATTCAAACTGCCAACCTTTTGGTTTGGAGCCAAGCTCTTAACCACTGAGCCATTTCATTCTACTATAAAGGATGATGGAATAGCTAATGGGAGAATGTCATAAATAATTAAGAAAGAATTGCAGGTCCCTTACATGTGCCTGTTGGGCTAGTTATTCCTTCCCTAAAATAACTGAAAATAAAACTTTGGGAGTTGTAGAAAGAATAATTTATTCTAGGCAGCAGAAGATGACTGTGCAACTTAAAAATGTAAACTAGACTATAAAAATTGATTAGTTTTGATTAAAGTCAAACTGGTGAATATACATGAACCAAATGGATTGTTAATACCTATATATCATCATTATAAAAATTTAGATCTTTCTCTCCCACAATCTCCAAGCTCCCTACATGACCTCCAGGAAGCTTTGACAGCTTTATATTAATCATACAGGTAATACGTTAATCTTGCTTGCTATTCTAAATTCTGAATTTTAGTTTTTAACATAAATATTATCCATTCTGTTAATAGGTCCTTTTATTTTTTAATAGCTATAATTTTAGTGTCCATTTGAAAAGGTTTCCTTCCAATTTAGTAGCAAGTATTTAATTATTAAAATTATTAGTTATCCATATACATGTTTTGCTTTATTCTACAGGTACGTTTCTGATTAGAAAATTTGATAACATTTTGCTTAAACAAACTTTTTACTGGAATGGCTAAAAATATAACTCATGAGAATAAACAATAATGCACCTAGTTTAAACTAACATCTAAATACATGGCATACGTTATATATAGTTCCTAAGAAGCATGAGATTATTTGGGCAACACTGAAACTGCTTATCCATGTACTATCCATGACTGTGCTTTAATTTATATGATATGCTTATATAATACTGTGTAAATAAAAACACGTGTTCTGAGCGATAGGCGCTCACTATTTTAGTGAATCCTTAAGTTTTCTTAACGTATGCCAAACTATATTCATGTTTGATGGTAGTAAACAAATTCAATGGGAATCCACTAATATTATTTTCATTCATTTAGGGGAGAATGTTTAGAACTTCAAAATCAAATCAGAAGAGAGACAACTTGAAAAATAAATGAAGGGTCATATAGGAAATAAATGTCTGAACTGGAACCATAGAGAAATCTATAACCTACATAAAAGAAAAATGGAGAAGAAATGAATGAATTCCTGATAGACATGACAAGATAACACACTAAAATGTTTAAATGAAGTTAGCCAGAAGTGTTACCAGACCTGGGAAATAAACGCATAGCTGCAAAAGAATTAAGCAAGAATGGAAAAGAAATTGATTATGGTAAGAAACGACAAAGAATAACAACCTCAGCGATTAATTAATTCTCACTGATAAAGAGACTTGGCATTTGTGAAATAAGACTGCATGTGTAAATTTTCCAGGCAAATTAAATATCTTATTAATTGCTTTGCTCATGAAACTTCGGAATTTTACAGTAAAAACTATATATTAACATAAAAAAAAAACTAAACCAGTTGCCATCAAGTCAATTCTGACTCACAGCGACTCTACAAGACAGAGTAGAACTGCCCATAGGGTTTCCAAGGAGCGCCTGGTGGATTCAAACTGCCAACCTTTTGGTTAGCAGCCATAGCTCTTAACCACTAAGCCACCAGGGTTTCCATATATTAGCATAGTGCTTTATAATTTGAAAAGCCTTTTCTCATCTGTGATTTCCTTTGGCAAGTTTTAAAATTCAAAATATTGTCTAACCTAGAAGAAAAAGAAAATTTAATGAGGTCTTTAAACACGTAACCTTAGTATAAATATTGTATGTGATACATTATTGAATGATGGTCAAAAATGTATGTAAATTTAACCACATATTACATATATACACGTACATGTATATACATGTATAGTGAGTTAAGATATGCAATGCACTTAGTATATGTTCTTTATAAGAGTTAGATATCCTCATCATTAATTAATGCATATATACACATATTTTACTCAAGTAATCAGGTAAGGTTTACTATCTTCACAAGATATTTAAAAATTTTTCTCTCAACACATAATATTTAATGGTAAAGTAGTAAACAATAAAATAAACCTATTCAGATGATTGAAAATATATTTTAGTGCAAAAAATAGATGCATAGAATGGAACTAATTGAAATGGAGAAGTATTTACAATATTATATAGTAAAGAAAGGAAGAAAGAGTCCTTTTCTCCTTTTTTGAAACTTACAAGCACAGAGGCAGAGAAAAACAATACAAGTGATGCGATGAAATGAAGGAGACGTACAACACAGGTAATGAGATATTTTAAAGAAAGAGGGCATAACAGAATAAATATTTTAGGCTTAAAACATAAAGAATTCAATAAGGAAAAATTACAATGACTAGCAAATTAGCACAATATTTTTAAAATGCAGTTGTACTAGTATTAAAGCTTTGGAGTAGTGTTTCATTCAAATGTAGCCAATTACTACAAGAAATAATTATAGCTCTTTCCTATTCTGTTAATTAACAGAGAAAAATAACCATGGCAGTAAAGCAACTGGAATTGTCAAAGTCGGAGGTCATCTAAGCACATGCCAGCCTTTTGACAAAGGTAGGTGATAAGTATCATAAAATCTTTCTTTTTTGGGGGGAGGGAGGGGGCATACAATTGTCCTGAGGTCTGAAAGAGTTTACAACAACAACGAAAACAGGAAATAGTAATAGACAGTGTTGGCACAATCTAGGTTTGAGCGGAAGAAGGAACCACATGATGGAGCGGTGCTTCAGTGTTTTGTTTTATTCTATTATAGTCCTTAAAGATGCCTGCCCAACAAAATGTATTCATTCAACAAATATTTATGGAGCCTCTCTATTTGCCAGGCACTGTTCAGGAGCTATTGAAAAGTAGTAATAAACTTAAAATTATTATTATTTGTCCTGAAGAGAAATTCTAATTCGTAAGTACATGAGAGGTCATCAAGTGATGAGCTAGACTTCTCTATAGGCCTGAGGACATTGTGCCTTTGCAAACCTTATGGCACTCAGATAAACCACTGGCAAAAGCTGCTCAAGTACTGAATACGAGTCCAAATTAGAGTATGTTTAATGTTGTGCTTTGAAAAAAAATACTTTACAATTGTCCTATAATCATCAATTACTCATCAAACATATGCATAGAGCCAATTAGTGAATATTAGAGTTTTCACAGTTGTAGGGGAAAAAGATAATCTTTAAAGACGTCTGTGTACATTATATTAAAATCAATGGGTAAGTGATTTCATTTTTAAACTTTCCATTAAAATTCTGCCCACGGACAAATGGCAAACAAAACCAAAAATGAACACAAAAAAAGATGTGAGAAAGAAGGATGAAATGCCTTTAAAACATAACCATCAAGTAGTCTGTTATGATATATATTTAAGAATGTTTATAATGTGAGAAGATGCCATGGATAGAGAAAAGAGCACTATGTGCAATTTCTCCTAGAAAACGATCAATAGGCATTTTAGATCCCTCCGTATGTCTGCAGCAATCAACTGCTAAGTCACCTGTGATGATCTGATTAAATGCATGCCTACCTTTCCTGATCCCTCCATCAGAAGCACACGTGTAATCACCTGTCGTCAGTAGGAAACATGTTTCCCCTCTTCTGTTTTTGTCTCTGGTACTAGAGCGTCTGATGGGGAGCCGTTCTGGGGGTGATAATGGCGGCTCACTTCCTGTACTGTCGGCACCTGATAACACTGGTCACAGCACCATGCCCATGGACAGACAGTGATGAATGAGGAAATGAGACAGTACAAAGAGTTTACACCGAATGCCCGAGGTCCAGTCACTCCATATACAAAACACAATAATCACATCACGATAAGAAAAGAGAAAGAATTTTCATCACTCATCACAAAAATTTACATGTAGCAAAATGAAAAGATGTGTAAAAAGAGAGAACCATTTTTCTGTATTTTTTGAGAAATTTTAATTCCATTGGATTTTACCTAGTAGGAAATTGGGTTTCACAAAACTAATATGAACTCAAAATAGTTGTGCTAAATAAAACTAATATGAACTCAAATAAGATATTTAATTTGTGATAAATTAATCTTACTATTTTTGACATGCTCTCTCAGTGTGAATAGGAATCCTTAAAAGTGGAGCATATTTAAAAATAAACTCTTATAAGTATTTGTCTTCATAGTTCTTTTACAACACATGCTGTTATTCTTTTCGGAAACTAAATTTTTCTCTCAAAAATCTTAGTAAAAATAATTTCAGAATGCACAAACTTCGTGTCACGTACTCTATTTTTAAGCTGAAAATATTTTGAACCTAACAATGGAACAAGATCAACTTCTCTAAATGTCCTTGAAACAACTACATGTTTATTTCTATACGCTAGCCAAAGACTTCTGCAGTATATCATCCTAGATGTTATCTTGCTATAACAATGATTTTCTGGTCAGAGAGTGTGTCCTCTTTTTTCAGGCCCTTCATAAGGGTTCTGCACAGGTCCTCTGATGACAACAGCGATACCAACTAAACTCTACCTTTTATAAAGACATATAACACTTTTCAGATATTTATTTAGGAGGACTTTGCAGAACAGTCTACTAAGTGAACATGAGGGCTATGAATAAAATTTTTAAACAGAAGTCTTAGCCAATCTTTTTTTTCATCTACCCCATAAAAATTTCTGGAAGCTAAAGAGAGACCTGTAAAAGACGTCACTGTGTTTTTTTGTTTGTTATGTTTAATTGGTGTTATGTCTGATTGTAAGAAATTATTCACTTAGGATTGCCATAAGTAATTTTCTACAAGAAAAATATTGAATGTATCTAAGTTTCAGGGAAGGCAAAGGCCTTAAATTTTCACAGTGGACTAAAAGCTAATTAGATTGTTTACAAAATATTTCTTCTGTACCAGACATAACAGACAAGAGATGACCCTATCTTTCATCTGACTATCCCTTTGGCAAACTAAGTGTCAATTTACAGTCAATCAACTCTAGATTACCTCTGGTAATGGAAGGGACCAGTTTCTCCTTATCTCAGGTGGTAAATCATCCAAAACTCAGTTCTGGGAGTGAGCAGAGTCCAATGCATAGTGCATAAAAAAGGGAAATCCACAGAGGAATAACTTTTTCATTGATTTTCCAAAGCAGATCATCTATGCCCTGACTAAAGGTGGGTTAATTTATATGTCATGGCATCTTGTTTCATCACAGGGGTTATACTGAGATGCCCTACCTACTTTAAAAATTTGAAAATTTACCCAATCCTTGAGAATATTACTAGGGAAGAGTTTTGTTTTTTAAAAAGGCCATCTCCCATATCACCTCTTTGGTCTTTAGGCTTTTGCAATGAAAATATCTACTCTTCTTAAATAACTGCCTCTTCTGAATTATACTGAGATGCACACCACCATGTGGCAGAGGTAAAACTGAGACAAACACACCAAGCCAAACAATATGGAGATCAACATTTTGAGGATGAAGAGTGGAAGATGATCGATATTATACCATTACATCGTGCAGGGAAACGAAACATTGGCACAAAAGCAACAAACAGGCAAAAGAAAATATTGGCACCATCAGCAAAGGGCATTCCCACTAAAGCAGGAAAACTCTATAGACCAGCTATGCAGATTTCTATTTGAAGTTCATTTGGAAATGCTATAATCTAGTCATCTACAAGCCTGACACATGCAGAAAAGTTTGGTGAAGGGGTAGGGCTGAGAACTCATGAACATTTGCGGAAAATAAGAATGGCTGCCTCCCCCCGCTTAAGATACTGGTCTATAAAGTATTTATAACACGCATTTGAAATTGTGCCTTACCTGATCTGTTATGTTCCAGAAGTAGATTGTCTTTGCCCAGACACATGTCACTCTGTGTGCTATTGCAGGCCATATTTAATTCTGTCTTGCAAAAGGTAGGTGAGCTTGGCTGAGGGGCAGGAGGAATGTGCTTCTTTCTTTTCCTTGGAAGTTTCTGCTTCGCCATTGCCAAGGAGTAGTACATTCCAAAATTGTTCACAATCACAGGCACCGGCATGGCTATTGTCAGTACTCCGGCCAGAGCACACAGGGCTCCCACCACCATCCCTGACCACGTTTGGGGGTACATATCCCCATAGCCCAGGGTAGTCATGGTCACTACAGCCCACCAGAACCCAATGGGAATGTTTTTGAACTGTGTGTGCTCGCTAGCTGAAGGATCGTTAGGTTGAGCTCCTACTCTCTCAGCATAGTAGATCATAGTGGCAAATATCAAAACTCCTAGAGCCAGGAAGATTATCAGCAGCAAAAATTCATTAGTACTAGCTCGAAGAGTGTGTCCAAGCACCCTTAGGCCTACAAAATGGCGGGTGAGCTTGAAGATTCTCAGGATCCTCACAAACCTTACCACCCTAAGGAAGCCAAGCACATCTTTAGCAGCTTTGGATGAGAGCCCACTGAGTCCCACCTCTAAGTAGAAGGGTAGGATGGCCACAAAGTCAATAATATTCAAGAGATTTTTGATGAATTCAAGTTTATTGGGGGAGAAAACAATACGGACTAAAAATTCAAAAGTAAACCATACCACACATACTCCTTCTACATATGTCAAGGCAGGATCCGTTTCAATTTCATATTGTAGAACAGCTCTTGTGCCATTGATGACTGGTTCTGTCTTGTTTCTAACAATATTGAAAGCTTCATGTGTCTCCAGGCAAAAGGTTGTGATTGAAACCAGGATGAAGAATAAAGAAGCAAAAGCAATAAACTGTAGAAGAAAAAGAAATAAAAAGAAACAAAGAGAGAATGATATGAACCACAATATACTTTCATCAGAACCCAAGAACACTGATCTCTGTAGATAAAAAAAGAAGAAAAAAAGTGTATTTGAAGATTTCTTTTGGGATGTTACTCAAATAAGAGGAGAGTTGTGTGTGTAACATTAATTAGAGTTGTAGGTATAGCATGTTCCAAGTCTGTTTCCAGCTTACAAAGCTAAAAAGGTTTGAATTATGTTAGAATATAGTTTCTTCAGTCTTTTGTCCAACAAAATATACCTGTGAAGAAAAAATAAAACCACCCAAAAGAATATTTAAGGGAAACAGACTCAAAAAAACAAAAGAAGGAAAGAAAGAAATTTTAGACAATGGCTCCAGATTTTATTCATGATCCTGGAAATCTTCATGTGCTAGTTTGTTTTACGACTATAAATATAAGATTCGTTTCACAATGATGGAAATTCCGAATTCATCCAAATAGATTCTAAACTGTAAAAGTTTGATATACAATATTTATATTTACAAAAAAAATCTTTGAGAGATATATTATGATTTAAATTATATCAAATTAAGGCGGAGACTTGTACAAAAAGCAAATCCAAAGAGAAAGAGTAGGCACAAGACTGGGGAAAGAGAAATAGAAGTAAGGAATCAATTGAAAAACAGTTTTCTTCCCCTAGTGAAACATAACTCCAAAATGTTAGAGTAACATATTAGAAAGTTATAGTTTTTTAATTCAATGTTATATTTAATTTCTTCAGTCAATAATATATGAATACGTAATTACTAATACGGAATAATAAGAGCTCCCACTTATATATTGCTCACTAGTACCAGACACTCTTGAAAGCATTTCATATACCTATAATTAACTCATATGAATACTCATAACAATACTACTGTTGGTGTTGTTAGGTGTCATCCAGTCAATTTTGACTCATAGCAACCCTGTGTGACTAAATAGAACAGCTGTATAGGGTTTTCCAAGCTGTAATCTTTACAGAGGAATCCTGGTGTCACAGTGGTTAAGCTCAGCTGCTAACCTAAAGTAAAGGCCTGTGGTCTGAACCTATCAGGCTCTGCGGGAGAAAGATGTGGCAGTCTGCTCCCATAAAAATTACAGTCTTGGAAACTCTATGGGGAAGTTCTACTCTGTCCTCACTGTAAGCTGGAATCAACTCGAAAGCAAGAGGTTTAGTTAATGTTTATGGGGAGCAGATCACCAGGTCTTTCTTCCCTGTAGCCCCTGGGTGGGTTCAAACTGCCAACCTATTGGTTAGTAGCTGAGCACTTAACTGCTGCGCCATCAGGTCTCTTTTCAATATTACTGCTGTTGCTGTTGTGTGCTGTGGGGTTGATTCCAACTCATAACGACCACCCTGTACGACAGAACTCCCCATAGGGTTTCCTAGGTTATAATCTTTACTGGAACAGATTGTGGAGCAGCTAGTTGTTTCAAACTGCCAATCTTTCAGTTAGCAGCCCGGCACTCAATCATTGAACTCCTACAATACTACTAACCACTCTTATTTTACACTTAAGGAATATTAGGCAAGAGAGGGTAAGTTACTTTTCCAAGGTCATATGATGCAAAGTGACTGACCTGAGATACTAACCTGACAAGTTCAGCTCCAGAGTCTCATCTTTCAAATACCAAACTCTTGAATGTAGAATACAAGTATGTTGAAAACCATTTACTTGGGTTGAAGTTACAAACTTCTTCATATTAAATACATGAAAATTTGAAGCTCAGTGGTTTGAGTGAGTTGCACTGTTGCAGCCAGTGCTTGAGGCTTTCAAAGAAGCCAGCAGATCCCTTGTGCTCTCAGATACAGCAGGATTACCGAGCTCCAAGAGACTGACTGTCCCTTGATGTGTAAACAGATGGATCATTCAGGAGCAAGAAGTTGAAGGTGAAGTGAAGTCCTTATTTGGAAACAATAGGGTAAATCCAAAATCCAAAGATGTCTTCTATCATCTACTTATCAACCATGCCATTGAGAAAAGCCAGATTTCAAGAACAGATTAAAATCACCTTCTTTTTTCTCTTGTTGAGTTTTAGTCTGCCAGATTTATAAGGAATATACCAAAGGACTAAGGTCCTTAGGTAGCATAAATAGTTTGCACTCAACTGCTAACCTAAAGGTTGACAGTTCAAACCCATCTAGCAGTACTGAGAAAGAAAAGGCCTGGTGATCTGCTCCCAATAAGATTGCTGTTGTTAGGTGCTGTCAAGTTGATTTTGACTCATAGTGATCCTATAGGACAAAATAGAACTGCCCCATAGGGTTTCCAAGGCTGGAATCTTTATGGAAGCAGATCGCCGAGTCTTTCCTCCTGTGAAGCAGCTGGTGGGTTCGAACTGCTGACTCTTTGGTTAGCAGCCAAGTGCTTAACCACTGTGCCAACAGGGCTCATTTCCATTAAGATTACAGCCTAGAAAATCCAATGGAGCAGTTCTACTCTGTAACATGTGGGGTTGCCATGACTCGGAATCAGTTGCACGGCAACTAACAACAACAACACACCAAAGCACTAAAGTATCTTAGGACTGTGACTGTCTGCTTTAAAGAAGCACCCTACATTATGGAAATATTTCTATGCAGTGTACCAGACAATAGAGCATCCCTATAATATCATAAAGCATGTCATTCACATGGCTTTGACTTGCTTTCCCATGTACATCATCCAACTGACCTTGGGTTTGGCATTATGAGCTTACCCTTAGGTTTCTCAGACATACTGAGAGAGATCAGCATGTTTTTTCACTCAGTTTTTCCTTTATACAAATACATATACAATTCTCTTTTCAATTAACTAATTATTGTTACTGGTGGCGCAGTGGTTAAGAGTTTGGCTGCTAACCAAAAGGTTGGCAGTCTGAATCCACCAGCCGCTCCTTGGAAACCCTATGGAGGAGTTCTACTCTGTCTCATCGGGTCACTTTGAGTCAGAATCAGTTGGACAGTAAGTATCACTAAAGAACTGCATATAATTATACTTCCTCTTTTGGAGGAAGAATCAATTATTCTTGATTCATAAATTGCCTCTTTTTCTAATCAGAGTGTTATCTATAGATTTCAGTGCTATGTCTGTTTCCAGTTTCCCATGAAATCTTTTTTTGTCACAGAGCTCTCTAGGATGTACCTACTGGCCCTCACACCCACCATTCACACTCCCCACCATCCACACCTAGTCTCCAGCATTTCAGGCTGTGCCAAACGTTGTAGAGCAACAATTTTATCTATGAGGCATTTGGAGAGTAGAAGGCAGTTAAAATAAATTGGAATTTTTTTGTTTGTTTGTTTCCAGTATTCCTTAGTCAGCATTTTTCTAGTTAACTTTGCAATCCCAAACTCTCTTTACCTGCATTCATTTAGTGATTTGAGTGGCACTTCCCCAACACTGCTGTTTCAAAATCAGTCAGTCCTAGCTTGCCTGCTCACCTCTATTCAACAAACACAGTCTTCTAGTATACTTTGATGTTCATCAATATAAAACACTGTGGCCTTTTCCAATCAGACATTTTCCTGCCATCCATCCATCCATTCATTCAACACTTGTTTATTAGGTAGCTCTATGCCAGGCCACAGGGCTAGGGTTTAGATTTAGCTGCACCTTACAAAACACAATCCCTGCCTATTAAAGAAAATTACAGTCTACTAGGTATACAGACATTAAATAAATAACCACACAAAATCATATAATTACAATTGTGAGGAAGGCAACAAACAAACAAAAAAAAAAGAAGGACGTTTTGAAAGGAACAAGTCTGGGACTTAATTTAGACAGAGGGGTCATAGAAATCTCTGAAGAAACGTCATTTGGCTGGAATTTGAGGGATTAGTAGAAGTTAATTTGATGGAAAGGAGAGACAGATGTGTATATCTGTGAAAATGGCGTGGGGACGGTATCTGACCTCCTCTAACTTCAAAAGCAGGAAGGAGAATCAAGATCAACAGCCCAAGGCTGATTCCTATGAGGCAGAACTTAGACATGCCTCCTCTCTGTGCCAGCTTTACCAATTCTGACATCAACCATTCCTTCTACGGCACTCTACTTCTCTGCTGGGTTTGATAATTCTTTGCAATGGCCACACAGAGCTCACAGACAATACTCATGATTATGGGGTTTATTAGGGAAGTAACAGTCACAATTCAGGCTTAGGAATGCTCAAGATACAGTTCTTTCATCAAGACAGCCTCTTCCCAGCCATGCTCGCAGGTACGCCTTTCTCTAGCCCTCGGCCTGTGACCTGCTCTGGCAAGTGTTACAAAGCTCCTTTAGCCCCTGCCAATAAGTCCACTTGGAGCCCTGGTGGTGCAGTGATTATAAGCTGCGTCTGCTAACCAAAAGGTCAGCAGTTCATATCCACTAGCCGCTTATTGGAAACCCTATGGAGCATATCTACTCTATTCCATGGCGTCTCTACGAGTCAGAATCGACTCAAAGGCAACAGGTTTGGTTTTTGCTTTTTTAAATAAGTCCACTGCACGGTTTCTTACAAGTCTCTCCTGCCACCACTTCTCGCCGTCTTTAGGGTTACAGCTTGCTCTCTGTCTCTTGGGTCCAGGAGCTTCTTAATGCAGGGATCCTGGGTTCAAAGGACCCACTCTCTGCTCCTGGTTGCTCCTCCTTGGTGGGGGTAGTATCCTCTCCTTCACATCTCTCGGATGGCTCATCTCAAGTCCAGTGGGATGGCAAAACTGAATAGTCCCCTCATTGGGCCACAATTACCCTATCATACAGTCCTGCCCAATCACTTGTGTGGCTAGAAAGGTCACACAAAAGTGATCCATCACACTGCAATATCACACAGTAGAAAGAATCTGCCTCTTTTTCACAAACTGTGATGTAAAAATCCCCATCTAGCATAGAGTCTCTACCTTTTTAAAGGTTAACTTCTTTTTTTAAAGAAGTTTTAATCAACCAAAAATACTACCTTGGTTTTCAAAAGAGGCTATAAGGCGACATAAAGAGCAGTTTGATT